GTAAACACGTGCACGCACATGCACACACAAGTAGGCTTACAATCACATACATAATGTAAATGAGCAGCAATATAAACAATAATAATCGTAAGCTATATACACACTCAATGTTATTTTGATGCATGCTCTAAGGCCGTAAGTACACACCAAAATGACTCCAGGGCGTACGGATAGGGTTAACAGCTCCTGTGGTGTAGAGGTTAGCCCCTTTGCTGTCGCACCCAGGAGACCCCAGAGTGATTCTGAAATGGGGACAATTTATCAGATAAGATAAAATAGATAAGATACCATAAGATAAGACACATCTTTATTGTCCAGATCCTGGCACATTAGTTTGATCACGTGCACACATACACACACACACACGCTCACACACACACGTACACACATACAAACATACATACAAACATACATACACACACACACAAACAAGCACACCCACACACATATTGAATATCTCGATCTTTCTGTTGGGATGTTGTTTCCCTCTCTGTCCGTGTTGGACCTGACTAGTAAGATCAAAAGCCCTCATTCTAAATGTGAGGCAGCGTGGTGGAATCAGGCTCTCGTCAATTTTTGGGCGTGTAGAGTTATTAGTATTATAATAACGCTTGTTCAGTTGCCTTTATTTGGGTGGAAAAAATATCCATTTATCTTGAATACAAGCCGAGATATTTGCGAATGAAGGAGGTGGGGATCACCTGTTTTTACAGGTAAAATGAGAGAGAAAATGGCTTCCAAAAATTAGTTGTTTCCTGAGCTTTAGAGTCCGTGGTAATTGAAAATTTACATTTTTGTGTGCTTTTAATTAACGTTTTTCAGAAAAATCCACACAGAAATGAGTTCTTTAATGGGCATGAAAGGTGTTGAGCCAAAAAACAAAAAAATAATAAAAAATACACAAACCTGCCGAAAAATGCAAGTTTCTTCACTTCAATTATTTTGACGAGAGCCTGATTCCACCACGCTGCCTCACAAATGATCTGAGTTATGTCGATGGGGTGTAAAGCACCTGTATTTAAACAATAAGATACATCGTATTGAAATCAGGCGCTTGTCAAAATACTGAAATCGATGAAACTGGCATTTATCTGCTCATTTGGCAATTTTTACCGCATATTTGTTTTTCTTTACTCAACACCTTTGAGGTCCGTATACATTTCTGTGTGGATTTTACTGAAAAACGTTGAACAAAGAAGTAAAAAATGTAAATGTACAATTTCCGAGGACTCTCAATCTTTAGAAGACACGAAACTTAGGCGCCATTTTCTGTTTCATTTTTACCTCTGATGAAACCAATGACCCAACCTCTTTCAAACGCATAAATCTTGACTTCCTTTTTGAAGATAGATGGACAATTTTTTCATGGAAAGCAAGACAATTGAACAAGCTATAAGATGATAGGAATAACTCCATATACTAAAAAATTGACGAACGCCTGATTCCACCACATTGCGACACAAGTGACATGCCTATTCTTTGTACTGCTTTGTCAAATGGCAATTGTGAGGCAGCGTGGTGGAATCAGGCTCTCGTCAATTTTTGGACTTGTAGAGTGGTATCATCTCGTCTTTATTTGGTTGAAAACAATATCTATTTATCTTGAATACAAGTAGAGATATTTGTGAATGAAGGAAGTGGGGTCACCTGTTTTTAGAGGTAAAATTAGTGAGAAAATAGCCGCCAAAGATTAGTTCTTTCGTTAGCTTAATAGTCCGTAGTTACTGAACATTTACATTTTTTGTGCTTTTAATCAACGCTTTTCAGGAAAAATCCACACAGAAATGAGTTCTTTAATGAGCATGAAAGAAGATGAGCCAAAAAACAAAAATTTGATAAAAATTCACAAACCTGAGGAAAAATGCAAGTTTCTTCACTTTAATTATTTTGACGAGAGCCTGATTCCACCACGCTGCCTCACAATTAATATCGACTGACAGTTCGATAGATTTTTAGTGGGGTTTTTTGCTGTTTTTTTGTTTTGAGGTTTGGTTGTTTTTTAAATTTATAGCAAGTACCAGCGTACTCCATGGAGGATTGCTAAAATAACCTAAACAAAAAACAAACTAACAAAAACAAACGAACCCTAGTACAGACACCCAACACAATTAGCTTAACTTGGACACTGCCTGAGAACTGTGACCCTGGTTAATCTCCCGTCTTCTGAAACATAGCAGCTGTCCCTTCTCCTCGACCTGTATCTACTTTAGCTCCTAGATATTTCTTTTATCGCGAAGTCCATTATATTGTTCCCGTTTTTAGTTTGTTCTTTTAAGATTGGGTTTCGCACAAAGCCAGATAAGACTTACGACCTTCTTATTTCAGAAAAGGCGGCTGAATTATTGTTCCACAGCTATAACTTTTTGTTAGATATTATGACCCTTTTTCTAAAGATAAGCACGAAATAGAACTAAGCAGAATAATTGGTCGCTTTCAAGCTAAAGGGGGCTATCCCCAAAAATGATGCTTTGAGAAAATCGAAGGTAAAGTTTTTGCCCCTTGTTCAATTTCTTCAAAAGACAAGGAGAGTTTTCTCAATTACCAAAACAATTATACACACCAATGAAACCAAACTTCTCCTATAGGTACAGCAATGCACACTTTTGGTGTAGCTCAAGACTTCTGAAACTCCCGAAATCTGGGTTAGCCCGCTTGTCCTTAAAAGCGACCAATTTGTTGGAGGAGAAGAGCAATTTGCATATGGGTCCTCCGAGATTTTTCGCCCTTGTCCGAGAAGGCTAGGTGTAGATCTTTCCTCCCAGAAATCAGGGGTGTAATTGAAAGACAGCAGTAAGAAGGAGCCAAGGAGTAGCAGTAGAAACGCTGCAGAAAGAATCCCAATGGAGGGGGCAAAGGAAATGATGGGGTGGGGGCAGGAAGTAGAGAAGAAAGTAGATGACAGAACATTGCTAGAGAGCAGGAAAAGAGAGAAAAGGAGACAATTAATTTTAGAGAAGAAAATTTGTCGGTCGCTACCCGAATTCGAACCCAGGAGTTTAGAATGAGAGACGAACACCTTAACCTCTAGGCTACGAGAGACCCCTATCTCTGGGTTTACAGAAATAATTTTAAATTGTTTTACGATCTCCGACTTCTTGTCGGTATAGCGACTGTGAGAAGCAGGGGTTTTCTCAGATGTCGAATAAAAGGAGTATGAGTGGGTGGGAATTAATGGGGGGGGGGGGCTGGACTTACATATATATACACATACCCATATTATATACATATACACGTACATAAATACATATACATATATCGTGCTTGCCGCTCGAGGTCCACTGTATCGCCACAATGCTGTGCTTACCGCTCGAACTGAAATCTAAGTCTACGTGAATAGTGTAGAGTTACTCTCTTTTTATGCTATTAACAAAACAGTCACGTTGCCATTTTCGTTGATTATTTTTTTCACCTTACAAAAGTGTAATCTTACATGGTTAACCCCCCCCCCCCCCACCTTACACTTTAACTTTTACAGGAGTCAAAGACCCCCCCCCCCCAACCTTACACTTTAACTTTTACAGGAGTCAAAGACCCCCCCCCCCCCCACCTTTCACTTTAACTTTTACAGGAGTCAAAGACCCCCCCCCCTCTTTTTTTTTCCTGGCGTAAGATGACATTATTTTCCCTTTAGGGGTTTTCTGGATGATCCATTTATCTACCCTCCTTAGCCTAAGTTTTAAAGTCTTTCACAAATGTTTATACATGTGTACTAGATCTACCCTGGTGCTACGGAACAACGCAAGCTAAGTAATCAGACGACCGTGTTTACGATTGATTTACTCTAGCTAGACTAGTCCAAACAAGACTATTGGGTCGGTCTGCTAGACAGATTGATGGTGCAAAGCGGCTATCGTGGCAGAAGTCGATCGCGCCCGACTCGTTGTTTCAAAACAAACACGTTGTTTTCAGGCGACGAGTCGGGCGATCATCCCGACCCGACCTGACCCGGGTCACTGGGCGGCGGCGGGCACCCGCCGTAAGCTAATTCAAAGTGTAAAGAAGCGAATAGCCCCCCTTGGCGACGTTATTTTTTGTCGTGGAAGAAAATTTCGGTGCGTAGTCTAAACAGCCGTATGCACTGCTCACCGTCGAACGCTCCGTATCCCGGACTCTAGCATGGAGATCATCAGGAGACAATGCGTCGCTGTTTCGGGCTCTTCCTCTCTACAGCTTTTCTGACGCACTGAGCCCCCTCACCGATGTGAGGTCTCCATGTTAGTTCGACTGTTTTCCTCTGCTGCCAACTTTAGGATTCATTCCAGCTTGAGTCCTCTCGCTTCAACCAGATCCAATGACTGGCTTTCTCTGCTGTCTCCTGAAGGGAGTTTGTGAGTTCGTTGCTTTTCTTTGCAGTAAGTCCTGCCACTCTCATCCACTTACGGGCGCTTGTTGCTACAAAACCTCTGCATCCTACCTCTACCGGAAAATGGGTTGCCTTACATCCTGCCTCCTCACATTGTTCGACGAGTGCCTCGTAACGGTTTTCTTTCCGCTCATGAGCGGCATAGATATTGTCCTCGTGGGGCACCGTGAGCTCTACCAAGTGTACCTCTTTGTCTTTTTCCTCCCATAACACAATGTCTGGCTTTTTCGTAGTTGGAATGGGGAAGAATCTCTCAAAGCCTTTTAAGTCAGCAGCTACTTCCCATGTGCCTCCGCTCTGGTCTTTCATGGCTTCGTTCGCTTTCTTTCTTTTGGCAACCTTGCTTCCTTGCGGAACGAACGCAATCTTGGTGGGTCCATGCTTCTGTATCTTGGGGGCATATTTTCCTTCTTCCACCTGTTGTGTCGCCATTTTTATGAAATTTTATTATTTTTCCGAATTTTGCGGGAAACTGGCTAAAATTAGCGAATTCACGAAAATCGTAAAAGTTGCGCAAAAGTTGCGCTGACGGCAAAAGTTGCGCGCGGAACTTGCGGGTTGCGGGCGCGAATTTCTCTGGGGACAGACAAACAGGTGTTCTTTGACCATTGACTCTTTTAAGTGATATTGAAGGGTGTAATTTCTCCTTGGGTTTTCACTTGCTGTGTAAGATCTCTTTTTGTCTATCCTGTTTATCGTGACATATACGTAGGCTCTCTTTTCTTTCCAAAAGAGTGACCAGTGATGTCATTGCATTTTGTACCAACCAGTTTACAACTGGACGTCAAGTTCACACCCTGCTCGCTTCGTGCCTTGACATGTGTAGAGACTTCCCCAGTTCTTTCAACCTCTTCCTTTTGTTACCCTTCCTATCGTTTTCATGTCGTGTCCTTTTTGCAGAGATCAAAGGTGACAAAACTGTTGCATTATCAGCTGATGTGACATTAGCCTGGTCATGTTGATCACTTTCCATTGTGCTGAGTGTCAGAAGTGACGTAGCAAGAGTGGCATCATCTTATTGAATGTTATAGCGTTATGTAAGTTAAGGTTTGATATAAAGATAAAGCATTATGTTATGACACTGAGAAAATAATCTATACAAAACACAAACGAAATGAACTTTCAAAGAAAGTCGAAAGATGTTTCAGAAGGTAGTAACCGCAATAAGCACTGCAAATGAAAAAAAAAAAAAACGTTAAAAGAAAACGATCGTTGGGGGCAGACGGTGTGCTGGACAGATCCCACTTTTTTTTGTGAGTGAGTTAGTAAAGAATGAAAAGCTATCGACTTCGTCCATTCAATTGCAATGGAAAAAATTATTAGGAGAAGAGACAGTAGTCCGAATAAGTGAAAATGCCTTCTTAATTCGATAACTTTCAAGTGCAAAGACAAAGAAGAACACGTGGACAGACAAAATTGTTTCATATAAAACAAAATCCATAAAGATGCATTTGAAATACCGGCATTGTCACGAGATAAAAACAGTTCTGTGGGCACAGTGGGGAGTTTTAGTCATTAATAACATTATCAGCAGCATTAAAAAGAAAAAAAAAGAGGGAACAACCAGATCTATATAACACCCAAATGAAACCAACAAGAAATATTACACAAATTTCCCTTTTGAAGAGCTCACATGGTTATGTGAGCGAATTCTGGACTATCAAACGAAGTCCTGAGACGAGTCGAAGCCGGGGTTAGTAGGTAACGTAGCACATGGCCCCTCATTGTTAGCGCGACAAAAACAGCCAACCCTCATTCCCTCCCTCGCAGGTTGGATAGTCGGAAACATCGGGCTAAAATCCGATGGATGGAGGTTTATACGGTTTTATTTCTGATGTTTTAAAGACATTTCTAGACAAAAATTTAGATCTGACTATAAGTGAGCATATGAAATGGACAATTTGCTGTCGATAGGGCCAATAAAATATTTTTTGACATTTTGTGGGTTAGTCGGTTTTATCACCAGGCCGACGATATACACATACATACATATTGCACACACACACACACACACACACACACACACACACACACACACACACACACACACAACAACAACAACAACAACAACAACAACAACAACAACAACAAACATATGTACGTGATATCGTTTTACCTTGAATCGAATAAAGTATCGCCTTGTCCGTGTCTCCTCAGGCTCCATGAGTCTACTGCTGGTGGCTCTATGGCTAGCCCTGGCCTACAACAGGCCTCAGGAACACCCGCGGATCTCCCCCGAGGAGCTAGACTATATCCTGGCCAACACACAGCCCGCGGGGAAAG